CATCATGACAGTGAGGAATGAACAGATGTTTTCCACAAAGTTTTGGCTAATCTGAGAAGCAAAAGAACAAAAATAAAACATTCGACATGTTGGCAGCATTATGAGGAGAGAAATTTTTTGCCATTTTATTTATTCTCACCTGGCGGGCCTTTTAGTGGTACGCATACGGAACCACAGTCATAATGGCAGCATATACCACGTATGCAGTCTTTGTTCGTGTAGCACTCATAGTCACCACAATACCCACGCCATGGAGGTGGACACCCACGCATTGCTGAGGAAAATGAGAAAACATTAAAAACATTGAAAACAAATGAGTACTTTAATATTTTACTTTAAATAGACTGAACACAATCTTTATTATAAACTTAGTTAAATATTGCATCTCTCTCTTTGAATAGGAGAAGCACAACCAGATTTGTAATCAAGCAAACAACATTTGTCAGCTCCAGGGCAGTTTGTGTCGTACCAACATGGCTTTAAAGGAGAAAAATATTTAGAGTGCTTTGGATGTTGACCTGGTTTTAGCAAAAATCTGAGAGGTAATGAGAGAAAGCGTAAACCAAAACCCAGACAAATGAGATGTGAGAAATGTCCATTTTAATTGTCCACTATTGAAGCTCGACTGTCTGTTTAGTAAAATATCTCATGAATAACTTAAAAGTTTAATGAAACGATCAGAAATAAGTCACACTTAGTGAGATCACAAGGTTTTAAACTAAAACTCAATTAAGTCTTGTAATTTTAGTCTAATATTTGGATTAAGTCCTGTAATTTTAGGTTGATTCAGTAAATCTATAAGTTTTTATTTATTTATTTTGCTTTGTTTTAGTGTAAGTGTTATTTTGCATAAAATCATCTGTTTTCATTTATTGTTTTCAGTGAGTAAGGGGTTTAATTTAGTAGTTACCGTACATCGTTTGCACAGAAGATGGCAGTGTAGTGCCAGAGGCACTGGGTGTGATTACCTGGCCTTCAGGTAGAGAGAGGTTTAATTAGTGTCAGCAGCTGTTTGCCTCTGTTTGCCCCTCAGTGTTTGGCAACCACAGAGATGCTTTTGGTGTGTATGATTCAATTATCTTTTGTAAATGAACAGGAGAAACATGAACTGATTTTGTTTTGGTTTTACATTTTTCTCCTTTAAAAAAAGATCGTGTGCATAAATATTTGTTACATTAAAATAAATTTAAGATATGCAGTTAAAATATTCACATA